TGTCACGGACCGCCTGGGCCCGGGGGGTCCTGCCGGGGGCTGCACGTGGGGCTCGTGGAGAGAGCGGGGGAAAAACCAGCCCCGCTCTGTGCCCGCGTGCGGAGAGGGGCAGCGCACGGGCCATTCCTGTGAGCGGGCGCGAAGGGACCCGCACGTGGGATCCCGCATGCGCCCGTGGCGTTGACGGCAGCAGGACACACTCACCGGGAGAACAAAATCCCTTTATTCTGTAGCTTCTGCTGATCTTGGAGCTTTCCCGGCCCCTGCCAGTGCCCGGGCTAGAAAACCCCTTGCCCTGCTTGCCCGCGTGGCCGCTTCCCACCTCCTGCGTGGGCATGGGAGCAGGACGGGGGTGCCCAGCACCACGTCCCCCGCACCCAGCACATCCAGAGCCTGCCCCGGGGGGCAGGAACGTCGTGGGTGCCGCCACAGCGGCGGGCCCGGGGGCTGCCTGCGCTCCTCTGCCTCGCGAGGCCGAAGGAACCAGCTGCCCGGCAGTGTCTTCCCATAGCGTTGGCTGCTCTCTGCTGTGGAGGTAACCGGCACCGGCTGCGTTTCCGAGCCAGGATGGGGTTTTCCCCCTGCTCCTTTTGGCGCAGTTTCTAAGTGCACAACCAGAGGCCACATCCGTCTCAGCTTGACCTTCCATCCCTACTGCCCCAACAGCTCTGATTCCTACAACGAAATTACTTTCCCAGGCATTCACACTCCTTGTTCCTCATCGGCCGAAGCCAGGGACGGACACGGAGCGGGGACAACCCAGCTGCCAGGAGACAGGTCACCAGCGAAGGAGTGCGGGGGCCGTCGGGGGGGCGGGAGCGAGCGGCTCCCGCGGGAAGCCCTCTGCATGGCCCTCGCTCCGCGGAGCCGCGCGACTCCATCCCGGCGCGATTCCCCCCGTCAGCCCCATCCGTCAGGTCTGCCCGACGCAGAGCCGGCGCTCCGGGCGCTGGGATCCCAGCCGGGCTCCGGGGGGACGCCGGCGCGGGAGATGCCGGTGCTCAGACGATGCCGTTGCGCGTGGGATGAGTCCGTACCCGGTAGATGATGACCGCTGTGGCCGGGCAGAGCACCAGGGCTGTCATGACGAGGATGGTGGCCAGGATGATGAGGACGATGACCCAAATGTCCAGGATGTGCTTGGGGAGGACGATGGCGGGGTCCGTGT